TAATAAAAAAGCTTTAAGAAATATGCCGTTTATTTGACTCGAGCTTTAAGCTATCGATAGCACGAGATTATAACAAATCTTTATAAGCAGTTAAGCAAAAGAGCGTCTTTTTAGCGGTATAGATTAAAGAATATCGAGCTATTTATAAGTTAGCGAAGATGAATAACTTTTACGAGACGACGAGTATACTCGCGATAAAAGCATTTTTAAAAGCTATTAGCGAAAAATAGTTATTAATTTAAGCGTCGTTAAAGTTCGTAAAGGTTATTTGAAACGACGAGCTGTTATTGCTTTAAAAGCGTACTTTCTACGACTACTTTAACTAGTACGAAAGCTAAGTTAACGAAAAGACTAGCAATCCGAACTTTAATTTTTTTAGCGTATTCGTTATTTTCGAAGATTAAACTATTCGTAGCACTTTCGGAAGTGATAAAGCTAACGATATTGTTCTTAAGCAGTCTAATAAACGCTCTGATAGCTTTAAAGGACTTGCTAAGGGTTTTAAATGCTTGTACTTTAAAAAGAGAAACTATTATTAAAACGTAATTAAGTGCAAGATCTTTCGCTATTGCTTTAACGGTCTTAACGAAAGTAGATTCGTAAAGCTGAACCGAGATAATATCGTTGTTATAAAAAAAAGGCTTTAAAAGCTTAAGTTCAAAGCGATCCGAAAAGAGATTATTAAAGAAAGTTAAATATAAATTCAAATCGATAAGGTCGTTTTAAAAAGTAAAGAAAAGCAATCGAATAATAGCGATAAGTTAAAATACTTTGAAAAAGTATTAGCAGTTATTATCGATCTTAAGCTTTTTAACACGCTCGATAATCTTATCTTTGACGGTCTTTATAATACGGCTAACAATAAGCATTAACTATTTAATAGCACTCTTCTTAATAATTGCGGCGTTATTTATCTTGTTAACGATAAGAATCTCTTAAAGCTAAGGTCAATTCAACGCTTTCGCTTAACCGACTTTATCGAAGCTAGAACGAGTAGTTTTTTAATCGTCGGGCGAGGAATTAAAGTCTTTAAAAGAGCTTTAAACGGACTAAATAAAGCTAAGACGGAGGATTTGAAATTAAAAAACGTCGCTATCGTCAAAAGGTTTAATATCAATATTATCTCGAAAGCTCTTTTAAGTAAAGCTAGCGTATAATACTCGAAATATAACGCAATTCTCCGTTACAAAGAGGTTAAAGAGAGCGTCGTATTAAGAAAGTTAAAAAGGAAGTTCAACTTTACGTTCTTTAAATATAAGCTATTTAATTATTCTTTGTTTTAATTGATTCGTAGCTCTTTTTGCTTAATAATATTCTTTATAATTTAAAAGCGCTTGCAAACACGCTATAAATTTTAAAAGAGTAATATCTTCCGAGCTTTAAAAAAGGATTTATCGATACTCTAGTATTTATAAACAAGTCATTTAAGCAAAGAAGCGCTCGAAGCGCTAACTTATAACGTTAGAAAAGTAAGATTTAAAAGAATTATTAAGGTTGAATGTAAAGTATATATTATTACGCACGCTTAATAAATCATATCTCGCCGTATGTTAAATAATAAAGCAGCTAAGCTATTTTATAAGATCGCTTAAGATCTATTCGACTTTCTTAACGGTTTTAACGAAAGCAAATAATTGTTAATAATTAAAAATAAATATAATAAGAAGCTATTCGGCTTTATATTAAAAGACAAGTTGCAATTGACGGTTATAAAAGTGCTAAAGGAATTTAAAGCATAAACGAAACGCAAATATAATCTTTTAATAGCTATTATGCGCTATAATAACGATTCTTCGGTAATCGCAATTAACGTTATCGGCTTTATCGAATATTAAAAATAAGCGAAAAAAGTTAAGATCGAGTTAAAGCTTTTATTATCTTTTAATTACGAATTTAATAAAAAAACTAAAAGGGCTAAGAAAGAAGTGATAGAACGGTTTATTAAAATAAGAGTAGGAGCAGGGCTCTTAAAGAAGCTTTGGCCTGAGACTATACTAGCCGCTATCTACTTTTATAATATAATATCGAGAGCGAAGAGCTTTATAAAAAGTCCGAATGAAGTGCTATAGCTTTAGTTTAAGTAATATTTTAAATAATACGATCCGGCGATTTTTATACGGATCGATATCGACTTAAGACTAGATTATAGCGGTTTAGTTGCGTATAACGCTCGTGCGTACTTAATGATCAAGGACCGAGAAGCTCTTCGTAATAAAAGAGCTTTTAAAGTTAAACCGAAAGGATATATAAGCTACTTGGTTAGATACATAGCTTTTAATATATATAAGGTTTATATTCTTGTGCTTTATAAAATAATTGTTATACGCAACGTAATATTCGATAAAACTCGATTCTATTTTAAAGACGAAGAAAAATCGGTCGGCCAACCGATTAACGAGATCAAGAGCATCGTTATTAAACTAAAAGATATTAAAGACTTTAGTTAAACAAAAGACGCTTTATTTAATATAGAAAACGTTACAAAAGATCGCTTAAAAGAAACGAATGCAGCTGATATAAAAGGTAAGCAGCCGTTAGACCTTATAAAAGTTGACTTAAAAGGATCTAATCAAACCTTAAGGAATGCGACTTTATTTAATCCGAACGATATATAAACGTTAAAAGCTTTAACTTTAATTAAAGACTTTATAAATACGTTTATATTAAAAGCAATTGCTTTACGAGACGATCTAATAAACTTTAACGATTCGAATTATACCGCTGAACGTCTCGCTAGCTTTTTAGCTAAAAGCAAAAGCGAAGGTGCCTTAAGACTGCTAAAAGCAAGAAAGAGCACCGTAGACGAGCAAAAACCTAGCTTTAATAAAAGAGCGCGCAAATCATACTTTCAGATTGTTATTTAAAGCCGAAGCTTAAAAAGCTAAGCTATAAGCCGACTAACAAGAGCTTTTACGTTATCAACCGGCGGAGAATTAAATCGAATAATTAAAGAAAAGCTATTAGACTTTTTTAAAGCGAGCATTGATAATAAGAAATTAAATTATAAACACTTTAAATAAAATTCCGACTTTAATAAAAAGCATTCACTTATTAATAGCCGTATTAAAAAACGCGCGAAAATATACGCAAGTGTTAATAAGCTTTTCTTAAATAACTTTCGCGCTGATTCGAACTATTATTCGCGCGTCTTAGATTTTATATCGACTTTTTAAGCTAATAGCGAATCTATGCGCGAAGATAATAAAGATTACGAGATATTGCACGCTATTATAACAGCTGCTATCTCGTTTAAGCTGTTATTAAAATAGCTTAACTCGTAAGAACGAAAACATTTAAAACCTTTTACTTATTAAAAAGAGCTATAACGATATTTATACGGCAAAAAGTTTAAGGACGAAGCTTTTATAAAGCTGAATAATCTAAAGAAAAAGAACTGCTAAAGAGTGATTCCCGAAAGCGAAGCTAAGTCAAAACTTATACTTTTTAAGTAAATATTTATATACAAGATTAGCTCGTTCGAAGAGATCGTAAGGTTTAAATCGAAGATTATAATTAAAAGCGACTTTTAAGACGAATTTATTATATATTCAATTTACGCTGCTACGCTAGCAGCTAGATCGTTTAAGATAATGATAGCTATAGCAATCGAATTTGATTTAAAAGTAAAATAATTCGACGTCGTTAACGCTTTTATTAATGTTATAAGATATACGGATAGCGTCTTAATTACGTATTATCTTTTTAACGGTTTTAAATAAAAAAGTATGCTCGTAAAAGTCGATTAAGCTTTATATAAACTTAAAGACTCGCTAGCTTTATAGTATTTCGATTTCATAAGCACACTCGATAAATTAAAGCTTACGCTATTCGATAAAGAACCGTGTATTTTTACGAATTTAAATAAAACGGTTTTTATAACGTTTTACGTAAACGATATTCAAATTATATACTATCACTTTAATCTTTTTAAAGCGCAAAAGATTATTAACGGTCTTAATAAAGCGTATAAGATCGAAGCGATAAAAGATATTAAATAGTTTTTTAATATAAGAATCGCTCGAGACCGTTAACGAAGAACGCTAACGCTTATGCACGACGCTTATATTGAAAAAATGACTAAGAAATTCGAACTTACGGACGGACGCTGCTTAGCAATTCTATTACCGTTTTATAACTTAATTAAGAATGAAAAGATAGCTTCGCGGAAGCAAATGAAAGAGTATTAAAAGAAGGTTAGATCCGTATTATATATAGCGATTATGCTACGCTTAAATATAGCTTTTGCAGCTTCTTAATTTTTTTATTTTAATACTAATTTAAGCGCGGAGCACTTTCGAACTATAAACTAATGTTTGCGATATTTATTTAGCTCGCGCTTTAAAAGTATTTAATATAGCCAGTTCAGTAAGTCGGAGCTGATAATAACCTTTAACGCTTCTTACGCCGATGACGAAGAGATAAAGCGATCTTTTTAAAAGTATATTATATTTTTATTTAAAGGTGCGATCTTTTAAAAAGCTTTAAAGCAAGATATAATTATTATATTATTTATTAAAGCGGAGCTTCTTAACATAACCTTTATAATAAAAGAGACTATAGCGTTTTAACGATTTTTCAAAGAGCTGTATCTTCGATTTACGGCGCTTTAAATAATCTATTATAATAATTAACAAACAATTAAGTTTATAGCTAAAGAGAAGAAGCGTATCTTTATTAAGCTTCGCTACGTCGATATTCACAATATATAGCTGCGTTAAGAGCACTTTAAAAGAAGCTTTCAAGTTCAATATCTTTTTATTAAAAAGATGCACGCTGATAGTCTTATTAAGAACTTGACTCGATAAAAGTTTAAGAGCTTTATCAAGCTTTTAAATTTATAAAACGCTCGCGCGTCTGTCAAAAAGCTTTAATAGCACGCATGTGTTGTTTACTTATTATATCTTATTTTTTTTTATTTATACGTAATTTAAAAGAAAACATTTATTTAGCAATTTTAATTATTATTTTATCTTATCTTATACGCTTTTACTTTTCGCTTTTTATAACAAAAGATTAATTAAAGCTCTTAGCAATCTTTTCACTTTAGCTCGACGCTCCGCAAGCGTTATAGCAACGGCGGGCGTCGCCGCGAAAGCGGCAAGCGTAATAGCTAGCGCAAGTGGAGCGACGATAATAAGTACTACGGAAGCGACGAGAGCTACGGAAGCGACGGGAGTAACAAGGGCGGCTAGCGCAAGCGCAAAGGCTGCTATAGTAATAGATTAGAGCTTTTATATAAAGTCCGAAAAGAAGTTTTAATTAAAAAGAGCTGCTTGGATTAGATTATTTCAGAAGTCAAGGAGCTTGACTTACGAAAAGGTAATATGCTCGAAGCGCTTCGAGTCACCGGATTACGGTTCGCTGCTATAAGATTATTCAATTTAACAAAAGCTATATTTAAATTGAAAGTCTTAAAAGCAAGAGCAAAACTTGCAAAGCTATCAAAACTACTTTCAAAACTTCTACTTCTACTCGCTAGACCGCCCGCATTACTAGCAGCACTTTTTAAAAAAGCAGCATTTAAAGCGAGCTGTTATCGCATAGCATTTCGAAGACTTCAGCGAACTTTTTATATAATATTATTATCTTTAGCGCTTACGAAGTTATCGAAAGCGGTATTAGTAGCGGTAGAAGCAGCGGTGCAGTTATTATAATTACTTTTAGCATATCGGAAATAGCGTATAACGCTCGTATCGCAATTATAGCAGTCTTTATTAAACTTCGATGTGATCTTATTATTAATGCATTTAATACACTTTAAAGCTTTGACGGTCGTTAACATAAGCAAGCGCTTAATAAAAAGGTCTAAAAGAAAGAGCCAAGCTTCGAGGATAAGAGTGCGTAGTATAGCCGCCGCAGCCGCCGCAGCTGCAGCAACAGTAATAGCTAAAGTAAAGAAAGGATTCTTTTAATAGTTAGCATAGATATATTAATCTGTTAAGAGCACTTACTTTTGAACGGCCTCGGCCGCGCTTAACGATTCTATTAAATTAAGTTATTTGCTTAAAAGGTATTGTGTAAATAAATAAAGGTTGAGTGTTTGTTATAATAGAAATAAACGCGCTTTTACTTATATAGCAACGCGATAAAGACGGCGCTAAAGACCTCCGCTACGTGATAAGACCGACTTAAGAAAGAATTGTATTCTTAACTAACATTTAATTAATAATGACAACCGCTATTTGTTTGTTTTAAACTGCGATAATAATCTCTTTTATTTATATCGAGTTTAAAGAGCTTAATTACTTTTTTTTTTTTTTTTGTTTGCTTGTAGCTTAGCAGCTGTTCTGCTAACTTAAAAGGTGTATTGTGCGGAACAAGCATGCTTTACTTAAGCTATATGTGACATGTTATGTGACCTCGCTTAATAGCGCTTTTAGTATACTGGAGCTCTTAAGTACATGTACATAGATCTTGACGAGCTTCTTAGATAAAAGATACCAAGCTTCATTCAATCTACAGAATCTCCTTCTGATCTTAGTGCTGGTAAGCATTATAAAAGACTTATAAAATTTGCTCGTCACGCTACTAAAATCTTTTAAAACTATACTTAAATTTAAAGCTAAGCTTTTTAAGACTGCTAAATTATACGAAAGTCTTAGCAAAATGATCTCTTCTTTAAAAATAAACTACGAAGCGATTCGTATTAAGCTTTTAAAAAAGCGCGATTTGCTTAAGAACTTAACTTTTAATAAAACTATTGCGTTCTTCGCTATTCTTTTTACTTTTAAACCATCTCCTTTCGAAAGTATAATCGATAAGATGATTTAGCAAACTTTTATTAACGAAAGCGCTATTAATTGCTTTTAAATTACGGTTAACGTTACGAAAGCTTTAAAAGATTGCTTAATTATAAATAGCAAGCTTATACCGAAAGCGACGGATAATACGATAAGAAACAGACTTGCTTTAAAGCTTTAGCGACTTATTTAAAAAGAAAGTAATATCTTTTTATTTAATAACGATTTATTTTGCAAAGTTATAAATCGCTATATCGATAAAACGCTTTATCGTAAGAATTTACTTTTTTTTTTCTTTTGCTAATTCGACTTACAGCCGGATTACTAGTAAAGCGGACTTTATACAAGTCTTTGCTTAATTAAGACGGATCTTATACTAAGATGCTATTATTTAACGGTCTTAAATCGAACGCTTATTCGAATTCTTTTAAATATTTAAACTTTAATTGTAAAAGAATATACGTAGTAGCTAGATTAAGCACCGTCGACGCTTCGCGCTTTTAGCGCTCGAAGCGCTTTCGATTTAAAAACGGTTTTATTTTATTCTTATTATCGGCTTTATTCTGATTCCTTTTATAATCGTGTTTTACGGTGTTTTTTAATTTTAATAACTTTTTTTCGATTGATTTACTCGTGAAAATCGGCGTACTTTACGGATCGCAATCGAAAGTAATATAAAACTTCTTTTAATAAAAATCGGCTTTGTTTCGACGTTTAGCTGATTATTCTTTAAATACTTTTATTATTATTCGCCGACTCTTAAAGTTATCGTTAATATACTCGAACAGTTTTTAATTACTAATGCGCGAGCTATACTCGATATAAATGCAGAAGTTAGCGTTATTACTTATAACGCCGCGGTTAAATTCGAAGTTCTTATAGCTTACGATTAAAAAATAAGCTTCCGAATAATCACCGGTTCTTTATCGCGCTTTATCGAATACGCTAATAATATATCTATTAATATTAGAAGTGTTACGATCTATACTCGATTTTACGTTATAAATTCGCTAGAGTTTCGACTTATACTCGATTACTTTTTTATACGCAAAGCGAAAATCGATCTCCGATACTCTTCGAACTATAAAAGTAGCTTTGTTATTACTATAATTACTAATCCGTTTACGAGCTAAGTTACTTAAGTTAAAGTAAGCGATAAAATAAATTAATATAACGAAGCCGTCGATCGTTTAAAAAAGCAAGTATAAACTTTATTTATTACGATAAGTCTTCGAGTAATAACGATAACGACTCGGAAAACTAATAATCGGCTTCGTTAAAAGCGCCGAAGTCGGTATATTAAAAGCTTTTTACCTTTCGCTTAGTTTCGAAAGCGAAACGTTATAATATTAAAAAAAAGACGACTTTATTACTTTAAAGTAGTTTATCGATATTCTTGCTTTTACGGAATACGATCTTTTAATAACTTATTAAATAAATGCCGTTAGCACCGATAACTTTATAACCCGCTGCTACGATTATATCGATTATTAGAATTCGACACTTTATCGAACTCGAAAAAAGATCTTTTTAAACTCGACTAAAGTATTCGGCATATATAAAACCAAAGATAAAAAGATCAAGCTAGTAAATAAAGCAAACGGAATAAAAGCAGCATTAAATAGCAAAGTTGATTAGTATAAGCTATTAAAAGCAAAAGATATTTTATAAAAGCAAGTAAAAGAATATAAGCAATACTTTCTTTCGCGCATTGCCGATATACCGAAAAGCTTTCGAATTATACTCGAACGCATAGCGAACTTAAATATCGGTAATACTTTACGGCTTAAAAAAAAAATTTATTTAAAAAAATAATATTAAGCAAAGAAAAATTAATCGCATTCGCTTAATAAAAGTGCGATAAGTTTTACGACGACGTTTTACTTTCGATTAAGCTTAAAACTATCTTACACACGGCTTAGCAAGCTCTTAACTACTCGTGTTCGAAAGCTTTATAGCTTATTATTATTAAAATACTTCAAGACAAGCTTAATAAAAGAGTTTTAAAGTATTACGAAAGGCCGTATCGAAATCAATAGTTCTTAATAGTTAAAAAGCAGCCGGGCTAATATAAACTTATCAACTTAGCAACTCTATTTAATGTAATTACACGGAAAGACGTTAATCTACTCTTAATTATAAATAAGTTTACCGAAGAGTTTTTTAGTTGCTAAATAGCTAGCTTAATCGACTTTTATTCGAGCTACGATTCATAAACATTTTATTAATCGAATAAAAACTTTACCGCTTTCTTTATATCGCTAAGTCTCTTTTAATATATTATCTTTTCGTAAAGTACTACGAACTCGATCGCTTAATTCGTTCGAATTATTAATCTTATCTTAAAGCTTTTGCAACTTAAAGTCTTTATATTATTTGTCGACGATATTAAAGTAAAAAGATTATAAAGTTTAAACGAACTATTCCGACGAAAAAGCACTCTCGAGTATACGCCGATTCGTGCTCGAATACATTTAAAATATCGATAAGACTTAAAAACGAATTAAGCACGTTAAAGCTACGATCGAAAAAAAATTATAATTCTATTAAGATAAAATGAATATAATGAAATTCGTATATAATTCGAAAGATCGCGAACTCGCTGCGGACAAAGTTATTAAGATTAATAATTAAAAAACCTTCGAAAACTTTATTAAAATTAAAAGATTTTTAAGCTTTTGCTTTTACTTTCGCATTTAAGTCAAAGGATTCGTATATATTACTAACCTTTTTTATAACTTTATAAAAAAAAATATAGATTAATAATAAACTAAAGCGCATTCGAAAGCTATACGAATGCTATAAAACGCTTTAACGACGGCTCCGGTTTTAATTAAAATCGATTACGAAGATTAAAACAAAAAAATAATAATAAGAACGGACGCTAACTTAAAAAGATAAAAAAGATATATTAGCTAACGCAAAACTACTTTTAATAAAGTGCAACCGGCTTAATACGAGTCCGAAGCTTAAACGAAAGCAAAACGAAATTATAACGCTATTAAACGAAAGTGCTGTAAAGTACTTAAAGTCTTTAAGAAACTTAAGTTATAAATTATTAAAATGTACTTTATTTTCGAGATTAATATTAAAATGCTCGTTGCTTAGCTTCGATAAAAAGCTATCGATATACTTTCGGCTTTAATTATACGCTAGCTAACTCAAATCAATCTTTTCGACTTTAAAATCCGATATGTTTTTAATAAAAATTATACCGCTATTAATGCATTATCGAAACGGCTACGGCATTTCGATAATTTAAGCGATAAACTTGCTAGCCGATTTAAGACTTATTAAAACTCGAAATAACTTCGAAAAACTTTCGACGGACCTTTTAATAAATATTCGTTAATTTATTTTTAAAAATATATTTTAACGCTCGAAAAAAACGGAAAATGCAAACTTGAACGAATCTAACGACGACTACGATTATAAAAGCTTTTTAAACTTAATCGAATACTTTTCGAAATCAATTTAAATAATTACTTTTTTAACGATTTTATAAAAACTTAAAGACTTAAATAAAATAGAATGTCGTAAGTTTAAAAAAGAAGCTATTAAATACGAAGTAAACGATAAAAAGCTTTAAAGACTCTCGACGAAAAGCTTTCTTTTCCAGTTAATAATGGATAAACTTTCGATTAAAACGGATATTATTACAGCTTATCATGATAAGAATAGTTATAAAAGTCGTAAATCAACTTATTATCGTATTTCTTAACGCTACTTTTGAAATAAATGTTATACGAACGTTATGTCGGATGTGATCAAGTGATAGACCTATTACGTGTCAAGACTTCTTTAGATATATAAGTAAAAGGCTACTCTTTAAGTTTATTAAACAAGAATAAAGAATCTTTTTACTTATCTTCTTCTTCGTATTACCGTTCAATAGGTTATAAGCTTCCGCTGCGACTTCTTTAGCGTCGAAATACTACAACTAATATTCTTTGCGACTTCTTTAGCATCGAACCTTTCGTAAAGACAGAATTAAAACGGAACGGAACACGATATTCCTTTTTAAAACTATTTTCTAGCGATATATACAACTCTTTTTCTTTATTGCTTGCGTTTATCGTTAACTTTTTATATCTTTTTTTAAAAAACATACGACCTTTTGTTTTTAGAAACACTTTAATAGTAACTTATCTCGGATAAAAGTGTTTCTTTAAGGTTTATATATATATATATATATATTTATAAACTTTTCGACGGAATACGCCGAAATGAATTTTAATCTTTTAAGATTTAATTTTTTATAAATCTACTTTACATATATACTTTATTTATATCTAGTATTAATCGAAAACTCTTTTATCGAGATTATTATGTTTCAAACGACTTAGCCGCATTACGTTAACGCGCTTTAGCTTTTACGATAAAATAAAACTCGAACAATTTTAATAGATTCTTTATTTTATTTTTAATTTTACTTGTTTTATCGTAAACTAATTATAGATCAAGACGCTGCGGACAGCTTAACTAATTAAGAACTTCGAAAGACCTTAAAAAAAGCCTTTTTTACGAACGATACTTTCGTATTATTAAAGAAAACGAAAACTCGTAAGATCTTTCAACTTTTTA